GCATTCTTAACTTTGACACTAGATGGAGGTCTATGGTCAGCTTCATGCCCCAGCTGCTTTAGCCCGTAGTATGCAGTGGGTAGGAGTCTGGTTAAAGTCCATAACAGTATTTCCTAAACACTTACAAATTAACTTGTCAAACAACTGTAATATTCATATCAGTGTTAGTGTTCTGAGTTTGGAGTGCCATGTGAACTTGTAGGTACTCTTAGACACCTACAGTTTGGAGGAATGTGTTATGTCAATGTTCAGGACTGAATTTAGAGGCAGTATGTTCCTTCAAAACATTGGTAACTACCAGCAATTATGCATTGCATTACAGCCCAGAAGACTAATGCTGACGTCTTTACTGTTGCAAGAACCTCAGATCTCATCTAATGTACATTATTCATTTATGATACTTCCAGACATGTTGTATAATATGTATGTTTCATAAATAACAATTCTTATTAAACAGCATTTGTTAGAGTTTTCTAGTACATTGTCAGTTTCCACTTCACTTACATTCATATGAATTATACGTAGGTGACTTATGTGTAGCTTACATCCTAGAGAAACTTTGATTCATGTAATACTTGGTTTCAGGTTTAGTTTTAGTATTATACTGGTCTTAAATTATCAGATTAGAACTTACAGATAATTTTGGGGGGAAAAAAACAGACAAATTACATGTTACTATAAGCTGCTAATTTTTAAGACCTGTTTATGTAATTATTTTTACAGGATCTCATATTCTTCCTCTTTTTTCTAGAGCATGTATATGTAGGTTTGAAAGAACTGTCAAAACTTGTTGATACTACACACATAAAAATACTCCATCCTAATACATGGGTTAGATAATTTTTATTTGTTCCTTCATTCGCTCCCCTCGTTTTATCTTGAATTAACCCCTTTAGGCAGTGTGATAACAATAATTTAAGTCTGCTATTTTCATGTGATCAAATCTAACAGCCAACGACATCCATTCATTGCAAGTGTTCATGTTTGTACTAAAATTGCAACACCAGAATACTTGGCAATCATTTTAGTGTATGAGTGTGAACATATTAACTCAAGAAGATGGCAGTCTTCTGGGTTGTAGCACAAGCAAGGACCTCTGAAAAGCTGGTAAACTTCTGCCCGACTACATGGTGCTACAGCCCATTTTAGTACTCGCTGCCATGAAAACCCCAAATCCTGTGTGTTAACTTAAACTATCAAGCAGTTACACAGCAACATAAGCATAAGAAGAATAAAATGCTTCTTGATGTAGTTTTCTTAAGAAATATACTCTGATATGTGCCCAGCCCATCTTGCATATCATATCGTACCATACACGACATGCACATCATGCCTAAAAGTCAGTTTTCATTCTTGTAACCTTTATTTTTTATGTATGAAGCAATGTCAGATAGAATGATGTGCAGATGTAACTGAAGGGTAAAAATATACTGTAGATGGTTCATGGTAATGGTGGTGGTGATAAAACTGTTTGATACTAGGATAAGAAAAGTGGATCCCATGTTGATTTATGTAAATAAATATTTCATGAAAGATATTGTTTATTATTCTTGACTATTTTAATGTGCATTGTTAAACTTTTTCATCAGTGAGACTCGGTATATGTATCTGTTAAGTACATTATTTATATTATTTTTCTATGGATCCCAGAGTAAAATATTCAGTTAGTAGTTCTCAACTTCAGAGTTACTGTCACCATGTCAGGAAATAAAGAATCTTGTAATAAATTTGAACAAGTTTTTTTTATATATTTTTTATTTTAAGGTATATGTGTTTTCATTTCTGGTGCAGTGTTAATTTAGGAAACAGTAAAGCATGTTCAGGCTGTGTGAGCCACCAGCAGCACAATTGGTTATAGGACTTCTCACTATAAAAAAATCACGTAGGGATATATGGATTTAGATTAATTCTTTGGCTTGAAGTAACAAAGGTCAACAATGACCTTGTTTAAATTTAGTGTAAGAACGACATAGGAATGTTGGTGTGCCCCAAGAGTAAGCCTTTCGTCATTAGGTGTTCTTCATGCCATAGCATGAGTGAAGAACATATTGTGGGCTGGTCGTGTCTGACCGCAAGATTGAAATCGAGACAGATTTGGATGAAATTTGGTATGGATTCTACGCTATTTCAGTGTACTTTGATATAGCATTTTTCAATTTGTAAAACTCGGCAATACCAACATGGCGGGCGAAGGAACTTGTGAGGTGGGATAGGCAGCAGCCTACGTGGGCAGGCAACCTGTCTGGCGAAGGGTCGTTGCGCTACAGTGGGAAAACTCGATTCTCGTTGTACATCAATGGGAGGGAAGTGCTAAGTTTCGATGTTTATTGAAGATCGAACTTAGCAAAGGTCGAAATTATCACTTATGTGTGATTCAATGTCAAATCATCACAGCATCTGGAACTGATCAATTTTTGATTTGTAAATGTGACGAAAAAATAAGAGGTACGAGTCGGAGAATATCGTGGGAACAGAAATGAAGATAAACATTAATTGGACAGTTGACCAAGTCCGTACGTATTTCATAATGGTTGATCGTAACATGAAATAATTATGAAGGATGATATTAAATATAGCCTACTATTAATAGAGGAGACTCCTGGTTGAGAAACTGATGGTTGCTGTGTTAAGTGGAAAAATGAATTACAAGAGTAAGTTATGTTCTATTAAGCGATGGACAGAACAAAAACATGTCCCAAAGGAAAGTTAAGAGACCAGTTCCTTGAAAAGAGTTGATAAAGCAGGTTTTGTTTGCGTAATTGAACCGGTTTTACTCGTTTTCACTAGAACGATGTATCGTGCACCCGAAAATTGAAGACAGCCTGTGTCCGGTTTACATAGGACATTATTTAATAGTGTTGATCAAAGGATTTGTATAAAGATATCGTGTGCAATGTGCTGCAGGATCGTTTTTTGTGCAATACTTTCTTTACTGCTTACAGTTGCTGCCATGCAGATGGGAATTTTCGCAATCTTCTATCAGAAACACAAATACTGAAATATAGAAGACTTCGATCGTACCTGTCGCTATGTATGGGAGTTAAACTTTGTCTATCGAATTCAGCGAAGAACAAATTATGAGAAGGGGATACCGAGAAGAATATTTTCACCGAAGCGGGTTAAAGTGACACAAGGTTGGTGGTATTTTTTATTATGAGCTCTGTGATTTTATTATCTTAACCGAAGCATTAGAATGGTGAAATCAAAGATGAGATGGGACGGACCTGTGAAACAAATAGGTGGATGAGAAAATTGCATGTTTTTCTGTGTGTTGTGTGTGGATTGGAGTCATCCGGCTCAGGTTAGGAATTGGTTGCGAGCAGTAAGTTAACATTTATAAACCGACATAGCAATATCCAATAATATCGCAAATAAGTGAACATTAATTGAAAGGAAACAAGTCCATCCCATTTAATGCAAAAATGCCAGAAAAATTTCCTGGGAAATGAAGATGACTATCTTTTGGGTTGTAGAAGTTTACCTCCATGACCAGGGTGATGAGTCACAGCAAAGACCCCTAAAGGTTGGTATACTTCTACTAGACTACATGACACTACAACCAAGAAAGCAGATATCTTCAGACTTGGTGCCATGAAAACTCAAATTATGCTTACTTGGGGAATGTCTTTCTTGATCTCCATCTGTGCAGAGTATGCAAAGAGCGAACCTTGAAGAAACTTCTCAGTTATTTACAGGAAATCATGACTTCTTGGGAATTAAGTTGCTTCTTTGATGCAATGTGTAGAATGAATTATAGATATACTCTACATCAGGGGTGAGGAACCTGTGGCCTTCTAGGTCCTTAAGTGCGGCCTTTTGACTGAATCCAAATTTTACAGAACAAATCCTTTTATCTTTATTAATACATTTTTCAAGATGTCCTTAAGGTCACAAATGACAAATACCCATCTAGAGGATCAACTGAAACTGCGGACCTCCATGCTGCAACCAAAAATTCAAATGCTTTCCAACAAAAAGCAGACACAACAAAGTCATTAAAAGATTAGTTAACTTTAAAATTAACAAATAGTTTTCATTTTTTGAAATTATGAAGTACATAGTAGTTAGATTTTTACAAAATAATATACATTTTTAAGTATATCTAATTGAAGTTTCTTGAATGCGGCCTTATTTGATTACAGCTAAATTAATGCGGACTTCCAACATGAAAAGGTTCCCCACCCCTGCTCTACATGTTCCCCATAAGATGTACTGGGGTGGGGAATATGTACTGATAATGCTGTAAGTTACAGCACTACCTTGCTGAAAGGCAGGGATGATAATGTTTATGAATTATTTTCATAATTCACTATGTTTTCAACTTTGCCCCCTGCCTGTGTATAAAAAATCAGCCATAATAATAAATATTTGAAAACTAAAAACAGAACCTAAAAAATTCAAGATATTTAGTACTTTTTATGCATTAATATAATTTACTTTGTATATTAATTTATACTGTTGGTTCACCAAGCTTAATGTTTATTTGTGAGTAACACATTAAAAATTGTTCATGTATGTTTATTCCATTTAAGAGATCAATGATAACACAGATAGCATTTGCTACATAAGAATCGATGTGAGGATTTGTTTTTCTGCTCACACTTGGAAATCGATTCTGTAGCAAAGTTTGTATTTTATTGCATTGTTTGTCAGTTAGGGAGTTGGTAGCTGGAAAAACTGTGAGATGAAGTGTCTCACACATATAATACATTCATTGAACTGGAAATTTTCCCGCTGTTTCGACCTTTAAAAAAAGTAATCGCAGTGCCAAAGCATCTCCTTTTCATTCTGTTTAATTAGAAATTATAATTAAATTCTAACCTAAATAATTAAATACTGTAAGAAATATTTGCATACCATGGCATAACTGTAACAAACTAAAGTCAATTGTGTGATCGTTATCAAGACATAACTGTTGATGTTGTAGTTCTCCTGCAAGATACTGCATACGTATTGACCAGCTAGTTGCAAACAGACTGGGGGCAAAAAAGTCAACAAGATTTAACTTTATGACACCAAACTCATTTATTTATTAATTCAATCATTCATTGTTACACATAAAATTATGAATCATCTGATTGTGATGCTGACACAATTTGTTGTAGGGTAGTGCACACTATAAAGGATAAAGTTAAGTGTAGTAGACTAATATGTAGTGTGGTAGTTACAGTATTTATGCTAAATTAAAGTAGGCTGTTTAGCTAGGTGTGGTTGGGATGGGGTAGGTTGAGTAAAGAGGCCAAGCCAAGGTTTAGTTAGGAGGCCGGGTTTGGTTAATCTAGGTTAGGTCTGGCCTCCTAACCCAACCAAGGCTTGGCATCCTAATGCAATCTATCCGAATCCAACCACGCCTAGCTAAAGTGTCTGGCATAATGTAGCGTAACCATAATGGTTTTCAAATGAAACCTGCTGTCTTCAAATTTTCAAATTATTGTACAAAGGCTTCTTTTACATCAATAATGCAGGTTTCGTTGCCTTTAGTGACGCCAAATGTCTTTGTGTGCCAAGCCTAGGTGTACCATTCTCTGCATATGATGAGTAAACTAGAGCCTCTTTCTTTTCTGTCCTTTTCCTTGGACCTTTCTGAAAAAAAAAATAAAAGACATTTATCAAAGACCTTGCAAGGCTGTGATGACCCATGTTGAGAAGCTATGGATTGAGCCACACAAAGAATGTAAGTCGCTGGGGTTTGCCACTTTACTTCTTAATATTTGAAACCATTAACTTACAGTTACAATTACTTTTTAATACATCAAAACATCCAATATAATGATCCTGATTGATTGAATAATTATAATACTGTTTACTGCTATTGCTGTTGTGAGTCATCAGAGTCCGCATATCATCAACCTTACTGCTGAATTGAAAGTATTGATTTATTTAGTAATTGCTGACTATAGTTTCATTAAATTTTCTAAGAGTATTTTTGTTTTGCTCAGTTTCTGATAAGACTGAACAGTGGAATAGGAAGTGAACCTGGGTGTTTATACACGTATGGTAATCAGCCATGTAGGAGTAGTGACGGTAAAGTGGCAATCTGTCAGATTGTCTGTACGTAGTTCTGCTATGAATTGACCTACAGAAGGCAATAATGTGACAATTGTCTACCAACTGAGTTATTTAGTGCAAGTTTCCAGAAACACCAACTTAATTAATTTTCTATTCTCTACGAGTATTTGTAATTGCTTTTCCCTTTTTGTGTGGCGCATGTAGTCAAAGACAGTAACAAATTGCAAATGATCAGTTAACAAAATAAAAACCAATTAAGTTTATTGTTATAAAAAGTTTAAAGAGTCTTGTGTCACAGAGAATAAATGCAAAGATTTTAGCTTTTAAGTTCAAAATTTTAAGGCATGAGAACAGACCTTGAGCAAAAGCAAAATTGGTTGTTATTATAATTTAACTTCTTTAACACTTCTGAGGATAAATTAAATATCTGTGCCAGAGACTTCTATCGAGTGGTCATACTAAACTTTTTGTTCTAATCTTCATGGTATTTCTTTCTTTGTCTCAATGTGATATGCTTTGTCAAACAATTTTTATTGCTTAATATTAATATGTCAAGAGTGTCAGAATAATCAAATGCCGTTAAATAGGATACATGTATACTGTTCATCTGTATTATCTCTATTGAATAATTTTTTTTTTGGATATTATCCATCGTCTAGTAAATATAAAACTAGACGATGGATAATATCCAAAAATTTTTTTTATTCAATTGACTCTTCACCATCGTCAAGAAGTTTTAGATTTGATATGTATTATCTCTACAATTACTCAGGCTCTACAGAATGCACGCTGTGACTTGTTGCCATTCTCAACTTTTCACTAATATGACCATGGCAACTCCAACTTACCTGATTTTACATGGGAATGTTGTAACATTATAATTATAACTAAGATTGCACATTGGTGAGGCACATAGTTTTAAGAAAAGACGTTTATTTTTATTGGAATTTAACAGCAAACATTCTTAACTGATTTTTAATTCACTGATTTTAATTCTCTGTCATAATTTTACGTCAACGAAGTGAAGTGTTGTAACACTTATTTTAAATGGCATTTAATATCTATTTCAGACAATTAGAATCCCAGTGTTTAACAACAGTATAATAATATGGAAGAGATAATCGTGATGTGAAGATGGGTTTATAACCGCAAAACATGTCATCACAAGTGAACTAAATATAAGACGCAAAGTGAAATTGTATGGATAGATTATATTATATTTATTACATGAGGACGGGTGGGGGCATTGTTTAACTTGTCTCTCAGACATCGATTTAACTACTTACATCCTCAATAGGAATGAAAGGAGTGGCTTACCTGGTTCTTCGCAAAAACTCCAATCTCTTTATATTCAGTCATCGATACATTCCCTTGGTATTCTCTGCCACAAAGTTCCGATGTGAACCTCTCTTTTTTTGGTGTGAAAATGATTTTGGCTTTGAAATCCTTTAAGATTCTCATCTTTAAATTTAGTACGCATTGGTGCTCCTTTTTGAGGAGAATCAACGTATCTGTATTCTCAGCCCTTAACTTCGAGACTTCTTGTTCTCTCTCACATATTTCGTCCTTTGCCATCTCATTTTGTTTTGTCAGTTTGCTTATAATTATCCCCAAACTCATTATATATTTATTCTTTTCTTCTAGGGCACTCTGATGGTCCTCCATCAGCTCCTTCAAACAATCTCTTATTACCTTTTTGTACTCACGAAATAATGTTTTCTCTTTGTCTTTCCTGTCATGAAATTTCTCAGTTGAATTCTTATCCTGCGATACCAGCCTCTCTTCAGTGTTCTTCAAGAAATGCGTAATATCCTTATTTAACTGTGTTTTGCTGTGGACCTTATCCTGCATGGATTTAATTTTAAATTTAAGGTTGGGATTTTTAGCTTCTGTAATATGGCATTTCCCTTTGTTGTTATATTTTCTACGATGTCTTTCAATTTCTGCATCTACAGCAGCATAATTATCCATCTTTATTGATGGGATTTTTCTTTCAAAAATGCATTTATTCATATTTTCAATAATTCTCTGAAGATCAGTGTGATCATATTTTAAACAATTAGTACTCTTTTGAACTGAACCTGCTTGCTTCAGCACTTCTTTCCATTGTTGTAGCTCTACAGACGTAATTGTTGCTGAATGACATTCGACCATGTTATTTAAAGGTAATTCATTTTTATTAGACGTTTTCCTCATCGCGGGCCTGTAGTCAAAAGAGTTGTAAACAGTTACTTTTCCATTTTGTAATATTGACAATGTTCTTTGAACTCAACATGAAATACAAAACAAGTTTAATACAAATTTCTACACATGCTTCAATTTACATTTCTAAGTCCTTTGCTGTTAAAAATATAAAATGTTTATTTCATGAAACGTAATTAATTCTTTTATAATGAGTCTGTAACTAATGTTACATACCAGCAAAACATTTCAGAAATAAATGTCAGAATTAAATACAAATCATTATATCATCATAGACTAGCAATAGTCATACGATACTCATGCAGTATTAAATATCAAGTATTTAAAACATGGACATTATTCAAGCTACTGAAACACCATTATGAAGCATCAAATATTACACAATCCAGAAGACAGAAATCTTCTTGCTATTACTTCTTAAAAGTACCGAGTTTTGTGGACAAACCTGTGCCCATTTTACAAAGTAATAAAAAATTATCGATTTTGCAGTGTTTTTCAAGAGGAGAATATTATTTATTTACTACTTTAACGACGACTCGTGAACATTTTGGGCACCCGTGTGTCAATATTTCGCAACAGAAAGAAGATAATAGTATTATCACATATTTCTTATATAATGTCCCTTCTTGAACGCGCTTGCATGAAATTCCTGGACATCCGTGAGCATTGTTTTACATGAAACATCGGTAACTTTCCCACTTTTGTTTCTCCAAAAGGAAATTTTCTCTGTATGGTTTGAGTTTTCCATTGCAGCGAGAGTGAAGGTGGCCGTCTTCAGAATTGTAGCACCGTGTAGTCTGGTAGAAGCTTACCGACGTTTCAGGAATAATTGCTGCCTCCATTATTAGAGAGATAATTGCCTTGATGATGGAGGCAGCTAGTATCTCTGAAACGTCGGTGAACTTATCAGACTACACGGCGCTACAATTCTGAAGACATCATTATTCATATCTTCTGTGCTAAACATTTTCCTTCGACGCACCGTTTTCTTGGACAACCCTGCGCCTAACTTCGATATATACTTTTCCCCCAGAGTTGTCTTTTCAAAAGGAGCTTTGTTTTGTATTTGCCTTTTTTTACGACGCGTTGCTGGAGAAACCATCTATTTTAGAGGTTCCCAAACTTTTATACCTTGCGTCCCCCTTAAAACATTCCATAAATTTCACGCCCCCCTTCCAGAACAAGTGCAAGCAAACAGATTTGACATAAAATTTAGCTAAACAGCCTCAATCAAGCAAAGGATGTTAAAAATGTTTCTCCATATTTCGTTAAAAAAAGTTTTTCATACAAACAACACCCCCCCCCCCCCGAGGGGGGTGGCGCCCCACGTTTTGGGAACCTCTGCTCTATTGTGTAAGTGTGCCGTAGTTGAGTTTAGATTTAGTGCAGTTATACATATCATTTCAGAACGTAATCAGCCACAATAATGAGCTTTTTTTTGGGGGGGGGGGAGTTATGGACACAGTTCTCAAGTAGACTGTAAAAAAGTGGGGGTATGATGTTCTTTTAAAATTTGATTTTTATGTAAGATACTGAGATGGCACAGTACCAAATTCTAGTTGCGCCCACTTATACAAGATACTGGAGTATCTTGCAAAATTATATAATATTAGCCAAGTTCAGTATAGGTGAGCCAATAGCCTAAGCAATTGATGCATCTCATGTATTTAACTAAGAGTTTAGCATTTTGCACAATGCAGTTTACATACCTGACTCTAATATCACTTTTGGCAGTAGCCTGAAAAAAAGAAGAAATAATACATAATAGGAAATCTAGACACTGAAAAATCGCGTGTCTGGTCATCGTATTTAGTCACAAAACTATCATGATGCATTGTACGGTCTAAAACATTAAAAACAAAATATTAATCATTTTGAATCATTTGTTTACAATCGCCACCAAAGAAATACTGAAAAAGTAGTTTAATTTGTAAAGCACCAACACAAGCCATTGTAATTGTTCAACAGTTATTATTATATCTATCCACCCGCTGGAGAAATTTAAATTAAAATTACAGCCTGTCAAGCACCATCTGCGATTCTGTCTGAATCTCTTCTATCGTCTCAAATCTCCTTCCCTTTAGCTGAATTTTCATCTTTGGGAAGAGGAAGAAGTCACACGGAGCTTAGGAAGGAAGTTGGGGTCGGTTCTTGCAAGATCTTTTAGCTCCTGACAAACGAGAAGTCGATTCTGCTTCTGGTCCTCAGACAGGAGCCTTGGTTTCGCATGTGGAGTTCTTCCTTTAGAATCAGCTGACAGGTCCCAACAATGTCGCACAAGTCGTTATGGTACGACGTCGATCTTCGTGAATGGCCTGCCGAATCTTGGTAACATTTTCGGGCGTTGTGCTCGAAGATGGTCGTCCAGAACGCTCGTCATCATCGACAGGGGTTCGGCCATTTTTAAAACGTGAATGCCACACAAAAGTTTGTGCACGACCCATTGCGGACTCCCCAAATGCTTGCTTTAGCATTTCATAGGTTTCCGTAGCCGTTTTGCCGAGTCTTTGGCAAAATTTGATGCACACGCCATTCCGAAATCGCAGGAGGGTCGGTGTGATGCACTACCAAAACGCCCGTAACTAAGAAGCAAATGCTAATTCGATGATGCCGGCTGGCACACTGATTCACTACATTCGTACTACATCCGGTTCGCCCTCTATTGACACAGTCTTGAAACTTTCCGATCGCACCTCGTATATTAAATATATCCTTCTTCAGAAGCTAGTCGTTGTTCGGTTGGGCAAAAATATTACTGTTCTACGAAATCAGAACGTTAATTATCGCGAGAAAAACTCCACCTTTCGTAACTATGCTGAGCCAGAAAAAATCTCTTTCACAACTACATATCTTATGTAAGGTTTATTTTAATATTATCCTCCCATCCCTGAGATGTCTCACAGGTAGTTTCTCCTCTCCAACGCATCTGCAATCTCCCCCCATGCTTGCTACATGCCCGGCCCATCTCATCCTAGTTTATTTTATTATTATAATCATATATGACGAAGAGCACTAATTATGTAGCTCTCCAAGAAATATTTTCATTGCCAGATTTACAGATTTAAAAGTAAAACTTGGACATTGCGAAAGACATAAGCAGTCATAATTCAAGCAAGCGAAATGTAATTTCTTAGAAATGTGGCCGGATAGGTTATAGCAGAACAGATAGAAAAGAAGTCGTGACACTAGAGAAGGTTGTGCCTTGTACTTGGTCTATATTAATGGACATTTCAGAGATTCTCACAGCCTCTTCTTCAAAAACTTGTTAAAATTTAGTATTTCAGTCCTCCTACTCCATAGAAGAATATGCTAAACATTCTCGACTATTATAAACACATGTAAGTAATGATGGTGATGCCTTCTATAATTAGTTTTGCTGTAAACTGTTAATGACTATTTACAATTGTATTAGAAACAAGCACCGTATTTCTGGTATAACATGTTCCACATCCTTGGCTTCGGCCTATGAAGGATATATTTTATATTTATTTATTTAGTGTTCTGTCTGACGACAGGTCCATACGAACAGGATCCTTCCATCCTTTTCTCGGACTGGGACCTGTTCATATACGTTCTTGGTAGATGATCCAGAAGTGGTTTGCCATTGCCTTCTTCTGTGTGTGAATGGAGTAATTGTTGGGATGCCACGGAGAAACCGGGGAAGCCCCCGGAGGAAAACTCCGTGATGCCTAGACCACGGCCTTGCCCAACACAAGTTATAAATTCGGGCACCGCCGGGAATCGAACCCAAGACCCCCAGGATTACAAGGCCAGCGTTCTAACCGCTAGACCACCGTGGCTCTATGAAGGATATATGAAACGCAAATAAATTATATTGTGTTCTTATTTCGTTACACGGACACAGTTCGTACAATTAACATCGGGTAAATTTTGCTTACCTTTTTTGTACAGAAAAATTGCCACCATCTCCTGCTTAAATTCTTTTCGTTATTACGTTCTTTTCTAAACATGTTTAACTCCCTTCGTATTCCGTATTCTTAATACCACAGAACAGCACAACTGAACAGAGTAACCATAGCAATTTGGCAACAATTATGTAAACACCATGGCGTAGGAACATTATTTACCTACGAATATGAATAATGGTGGGGTAACAAATAGTCATAGTTTTGGAACGTCACAATAAATAGAAACTCTCCAATTTATCGCTACGTAAACAGGTTCTAGCGCATGCGCGCTGTATTACAAGGTCAATAGCCACGTGAAGCGTGTAGTCGCCATGATTACGGTGCAGAGGAAGGTTCAATGTGTTTTGTGGCTTGCTAAGTTTGAGTCAGTTACACTTGTTAGGCGTGAATACCGTAGTGTGTTTAATGAAGAACCACCACACGAAAATAACATTCGCCGTTGGGACAAACAACTCAAAGAAACGGGCAGCCTACTGAAGCAGTCACGTCCAGGACGACCATCAGTGTCTAACGATACCATTGAAGCTGTGCGAGCAAGTTATCTGCGTAGCCCGAAGAAGTCAGTGCGGAAGTGTTCTGTAGAGTTAGGCGTTTCAAAAACAACTGTTCACAACGTTTTAAAGAAACGACTACGCTTTACTGGTTATAAAATTTAGCTGTTACATAAAATTTATCCACAGGACAAAATGAAACGATTCGAATTTGCTACGGACATTCTGGATAGGTTAGATCATGATGGGGAATTTTTAGACAAGTTTATGTTCAGTGATGAGGCTACGTTTCATGTTTCGGGACGAGTCCATCGGCATAAAGTTAGAATATGGGGTAATGAACCTCCATATGTCATTATGGAACATCAACGTGATAACCCGAAAGTTAATGTGTGGTGCGCAATTGGACGAGACAGAGTCATTGGCCCCTTCGTTTTTGCTGAACAAACTGTGAAGGAAAAGAACTTCCTGGATATGTTAGAAGGGTATGCAGTGCCCCAAATACCGGAGAATTTCATTCTCCAGTTAGATGGAGCTCC